GGTCCAATTTTTTCCTGCAGAGTGAACAAAACAATGGCTCCCCCACTCCCTCCACAGAGATGTTTTAACACAGACACATTCTGAACAGCAAAGTACATCAGACGCCAGTCTCCTGTAAATGCCAGAGAGTAGGCCTCCTCCTGGCCTTTATTTTTCCATGCTCCTGGATACATGAGAGTCTCAAGAGGGAGGTTTAATGCCAATCTCTGCTCTCGACCTTGGGCAACATTCCTCCCCTTTGTGGGTGGAATGAGATGCCATGACTTGCTGCTTTTATTCACAAAGTGCCTCACTTGTTGATATGAAGCCACTGGCCTCCCTCCTGGCCATGCCTCAGCTGAACCAGCTGGGAATTGTGAAGATTGGTTTGAGGTAGGAAGTGCCCTTGCTCTAGACCTAGGACAGCTGCTTTGATTGTGGGTGCACCAGGAAAGTGGGACAATTGAAGCCTGAAGACTTTGTCACTTAATTGAAAGTCACAGAGTTCCTTTTCACCTGTATTGTCTCTGGAAAATTGGAGAGAGATGGTCTATACAAGACCCACACCATTTAAAATGTCCTACAAGAAGTCACAATGAAATGAAATAATTTACACCAAAAGGTGTATGTTCTTCAATCTGCTCTGAATTCTGGTCTTCTGATCTTGCCAGAGATGGTTGTTAGAATAAATCGATAATAACTTTTTTTAAAAAGAAAGAAGTTTTAAAACTAGAACTAACTCAGCCTTCCCTTCATTCAAGGTTGGATAAGCAGTAGTCAGTGAGTACTTGGGAAAACAGTCTTGAAGAGAACCTGTGTTTACATGTCCTTAGCCATGAAAAGCATTTTTAGGTGAAGCGATTTCTCATTTTGCACAAATGATTATAGCGTGTGTGTGTTTGTGAATTTGGTCATAATTGCTGCCCAACATCATTATTGCGATAATTTGTTTAGCTAAGAGAAAAAGGGCAGTTGAAGTTATTTTTAAGTTTGCATTTTGTCAGTTGTAGGTTTTCATTTTTTTGTTGTTGTTGCATTTATTGGCACCAGCTGAGTGTGGGATGGTGCACAAATCCCCTCAGAAATGGAGTTATTTGGTCACAGTAAACTGAAGCCTCTCCCCAACCCCCAAGATAACAGCAATTACTTTGGATTCATTTTAGTAGGTGTGAAAAGTTCATCTGTTTAAAAGATGAGTACTGTGGTTTATATAGGATCCTCTGGTAGCAGCAGGTTAATTAAAGAATGATTCTGTCATCTCTAGCCCAAATCGCAGGCATTATAAAAGCCAGCCTGCTTTATGACTGTCACGTGAGAAATGTGCACATTGATACCCCAGACTTTGAGCATCGTTAAAAGTTAGTCCATTGGGCGGGTTTGTTCTTCACATTATCCAGAGCATCTGCCAGTTTCTTCTTTCTTGATTATATGCACCTTTGCAAACAATAGTAGAGTTAGCAACACTCTTCTAAGTGTGCCACATTTAACTTGGGGTAAGAATACAGCTTTAATCCCGTTTTACAGATAAAGAAATGGAGGTGCAAAGTTGTTAAGTACCTTTGTCCAAGGTCCTAAAGTTTGTAAGCAGCAGAATGGGTTTAGCAATCAGCCTGCCTTGGGAGCCATGTGCCTATTACCTACAATTCACTGTCCAGTTGAGAAGTGGCATGGGAGGTCACATCTCCCACTCATCTCTGAGATACTGATTCATTATTTGACTAAGAGGCCAGACTCTTCTGCTTACCAGGATTTTAATTGGCTACCTTTGGAGCCTGTGGGTCTAAGGTATGACTGTTGTCTAGAAGCTTTGGGAGAAAGGTAAAATCACGGTAAAATCACAGTGGAAGCTTGATGCTGAAATGATTGTTGTATCTTCTCCAACCTTATACCCAGTAATGATGTGTTTGTAAGGCCAGGGGTCCAATTTTTTTCCTGCAGAGTGAAAAAAACAATGTCTCCCCCACTACCTTGATATGAATGTTTTAACACAACACATTCTAGGCAGCAAACTACATCAGACACCAGTCTCCTCATCCCTGCAGGCATCACACTGTGTGCTGGGCCCCGGACAAAGCAACTAGAAGTATAAGTTCTAAGCAGTCCTCACCACCCATGGAACTTGTGGTATAAGAGAAGGAATGGCACACATAGTTGTCAAGTGAACTCTCATTGCAAAGAAGTTCAGATGGGTGGTGCAAGCAGTAACTGCTGTGGAAGCTCAGATGAGGAAGAAAACAGGTCTGACTGAATGGTATGTGTCTCCGAGAAGGGGGCAGGATGTGTGCTTGTCTGAGTTAGGGGATAAGATTCAATTTTATTCTAAAAAAAAAAATGCACTTGGATGAATGGAGAGAAGAACATGCTATGTGCAGAGATGTGAGCAGGACTCTGTGAATGTAAAACACGGGTGATGGTCAGAGTCAGAGGGGAGAGCTCTATTTTGGGAGTCCTGGATGAGAGGTTGAAAAGATGCCCACCGACCCATGCTCCACTATAGAGAGCAGAAAAATGAACACGTTGTGCTTTGCTCATTTCATATATGAAAGTGTGGGACTCAAAAATCTGATTACTGTGTGTGTCACGTAGAACCACACTCCCCCCTCCAAAGTACGTCTCATGCCATTGTATATTCTCATCTTGTCTAAGAAGAAGCTGTATCTCTAAGTGCCATAAACTCCAATAAAAGCAGGTTTGTTCTTTCCTCCTCCTTGTGTTCCTGAAACCTATGTTTATAGGACCTTATGTTACTTACACTTTGGTGTGTTACCTTTAATCTCAACCTCTGTTTGCTACAAACACCACTGAAAGGTGACAGTTTCATGTGGGATAAACTCTATTGATCTCTCTCTGTGAGGCAAGATGTTTTTCTCAAGCATTTTTGGGCGCATTTTCTCTGAGAGATAGCATAGGGCAGTGGTCGTGAGCATAGACGGAAGTCAGACCATCTGGGTTCTGATCCCGGCCCTGGCACTTATTGCTGGGCAACCTATGGTATGTACTTAACTTTTCTGTGCTTCCAATTTTTCATGTTTTTAAAGATTAAATATGTTAATTCAGGCACCATGCTTTAAGAAGCACTTGGCACATAGTATGGAGTAGTTAGCTTAAATCATGGGTTCCCAGCAGGGGTGACAGCACCCTCAAGGGGGCAAAAAGTTTAAATTCAGGAATGGTTTCATTAGGAAAAACATTTGCTTAGCGAGGCTTCTTGCAGGGTAAGGGGTAAGAGGGATCGATGGAGGGAGAAAAAAGTAGTCCAGAAACCCTGGGTTGCACCAACGCCATCAAGTTGGACCCAATGAAGCATTGATAGAAAGAATCCCAAAAGAGGTTTACATGTTGTACTTGGAGGCCCATAGCCAATAGAGGGTTTAATCAACAGGCTTTTACCTAAGGCCCGATGTAGGCTCCGCCTTAATGTCCTCACGTTCACTGTTTGGTCATGTGCACAGGGAGGGAACCAATGGAAGCCCAACCCCCCTTCCACAGGGTTCTTGAAGCTAGTTGTGGAGGGAACAGAAGGAGGAGGGAATGAGTTGCTTTGCCTGCATTGCCTGAGGTGAAAATTGGTGGGATAGATGTGGTGTGATCTGGGCAGAGTGAATAGTAAAAGTTCACATCTACCCAGCATTTTCCGTTTTTCAGAGTAGTTTCACACTCATTATCTCATGAGCACTCTTTCTCTTTTGAAATAATTTTTAGTTACACATATAGTAAAGAAATGCATTCTTTTATAAGAAATTGAAGTATTACTGATAAAAGTAAAAATGTCACATAAGCCACATCTGGTTCCAGTTCCCTGCTCTCTCCACAGGATTAACCCTTCTTAGCACTCTGTATGTCCAGCACTTGTTTCTATTCATTTACACTCAGGTAAACCTGCTTAAAAAAGTACACTATTGCTGTGTAGATCCTTTAACACTAAAGATATCAAACTATATGTAATTTTCTACTTCAAGCTTTTTTAAAAATCATAATATGTCTTGGAGATGGTTCCATAATAAAACATTCAGATCTACCTCACTCCTTTCAATGATTGCATACTCATGGAATAAATACCTCATTATTATTTAGCCATCTTACCTTCTGGTAAATACTGATATTGTTTCCGTTTTGATTTTTTACCACAGCTGCGAATGCTGCCTCTTTGGGTATGTGGGTACCTGTCTACAGCTGCTCATTGAGGCAGATATTATCTTTACAGCAAGGAGACTGAGGCCCAGAGAGGTGACATAGGCAGTGAATAGCATGTCCAGGACCAGAAGCCAGGTCTTTTTGTTTCAAATCCAGGTTTGATGGATTTTCTTCCCTCATTCCATAACTACCTCCCACCATTATCCCATACAGGGACATTTGCATTTGGCAACTGATTTCCTAGCAGTAACATCCCCAGGGTGACCCTAAATTTCCTCCTTTTCGCACTATAGATGATGGATCAGCTGCTGTGTGTCCCTGAAGGAAGGCAGCTTCCAGGAGGTGGACAGCGGTGTGTGAATAAAACAGGGTAGGAGGGGATCCACACATACCTGTCCCGACCTATTTACCGAGCGGGCTGTTGAGCCAAAGCAGCACAGTGTTGTCTAACTGCAGCTAAATTTGAAAGGTCCAACTGAGAAATGTCAGGAGGAAGTAACACTTGAATTATTAAGGAAGTAGGTACTAACGGAGATGGAGAAGAATAACCTATGAGACCGGCTTGTTTTGAGCAGGAAAGGAAGAGATGGATGTTCTAAGTGACCAACATAACTTTAAAATAAAGTGGTTCCTGGGGCCTACTAAATGTTTAAATTTCAGAGAATATGAGCTTCTTTTTGATGGGCCTTCTTCAATATTTTACAACGGCATATCGAAAGGGTTTCTTAATTAAAATCCCCAGCACATTGGAGGGGCGGGCTGATTGAGGCTGCAGTGCCTGCAGGCAGGGTGCCCACCTCTATCAGCCACGCCAGCCGAGGGGGCATCCTGCAGCTCCTATGTCAGAGGGGTTCCTGCCGGAGCAGGAGCACCTCCTGGCAGAGAGCATGGGGCCTGGCCAATTCAATGTGGCCTCGCTGCCCCAGCCCAGCCGGGACACTCCCCAGGACCCAATTAGCAGATTGGAAATCGCATCCAAGTATGTTACAATCACCAAGTTAAAGAGGAATAACAGACATGAAAGAATCAAGTGGGAAAAGAACATTTTAGATCCCAAAAGAGCAGGCTGCTTGTCAGAGATCTAACGAACCGAAACAAAATAAGTAGCAGCTCCTTAAGCCGCTTTTCTAACACGGCTGGGATTGGTTAGTGTTGAGAAAAGCACTGAAATTGCAAAAGAAAAAAATACTTATTGTTCCTATGTTCAATTTGTTATTTAATATAACTTGTTTTTTTAAGAATTTAATAAAAAAAGGGAGGGCATCATTAATTTTACATTCTGCAAGAAAATGAAAAATGATCTGCTGATTAGTGATGTGCAATTTGTTCTTTGAACATCTCCAGTAATGTGTGAATGTCACATTACATAACACTTATAATGATTAAACCAGAAGATGAAATAAGATAGGATAGATCTTGTGTTCTTTCCTTGACTGGTGGACAACTCATCTCATTAATCTCTCTTGGGCTTGCAGCCTTAAATTGAATAAGCCGTGGTATTGGGGGAGATTTATGGCCAAAAGACTTAGCAACCTCACTGAGGAAATCTTATAGCACCATTTTGAGAGCTCTGCAAGATAATTCTTGGGATTTGTATTAATTGTAGCTTGTCATAAAACATTACCCAAACCAGAAATGAGCAATGAACCTTCTCAGGAACTTAATATTACAGCAACATTGAAAATATGTACTTCTTGATGTTCCATCTCATGAGATGTTAAAACATTCTGAGTCCCAATTTAAAATTATTGTATTAGAAATGGTAGCTTCAGTATAGTGGGAAATGATACACTGATGTACCTGGGCACTGAGGAATGTTTGTGAAACACCAGTGGGCTTTCAATATCACAAGGGCAGCCCTTCACAGAGCAGTGAGCAGGATGTCCTTATGAAATGTTTGTAGAAAGAATGAACCATCTGGTAACCATGACTCCTCTTTTTAAAATTCAAGTTCTCTTTGTGGCTGAATTTCTGACTTGGTGTATAAGTACCAGTAAGTAAGATTGGCTCACTTGATGCAATTTTTAAAGGAAGTGCCTTGCCACACCCAGAACCAGTAGCCTGGAATTAAAGTTGAAAAGAGGTTAGATTTAACAAGTCATCCAATATATACAAGATTTCCCTTTAGCAGTCATAAGTGAGCCTTGCTTGATGACTTATTCATTTGGGGTGTTCAATTCTTCTCACTGTAGCATGTTTATTACCAGACCTTGGGATCCTTGAATGCGATTCTGTGCCCTTTTCTATAGCCCCACATGTCAGTTATGCACAGAACACGCTAAATGCTCAAAAAACACTTTCTGATATATAAAACCAAAATTATTGTTTATATGAAGTCAAAATCTATCTCCTTGAACTTCCACATGGTGGACCTAGTCCTGTCTTCTGCACAAAAATAAACATATCAACTCCCTCTTGAGGAGTGACTTGAGGAGTGATTAAGCCTCAAAACACTCCTCAAGTCTTCTCTGTACCAGATTAATCCCTAGTTCCCTAAATTAATTATTTTCTTAAGCTGCCATGTCAATCATTTTGTGCTTCCTGGTCAACAAAAACCTCAGGTTTTTCTTCTCTTAAGTAACATAAAGGAAACATTTCCACTCATCTTTTATTGGAGTCATGTTTTCCTTTTAATCTTTTTAACTGAATCCTACTTACCATGGTAAATTTTAAAGATATTGTTTAACCAATCTTTCTACCTTACTGAGAGTTTTTCAAATGCCGATTTTGCCAATAATACTGTTGCCATGGTGTTGTATCTTTTGCAGACTTGATCAACAGAACTGGCATCAGAAAAACACAGATGCTTTGGTAGATGTCATGAGGGTCCTCATCTCTCCCTATGCTGGCATTGATCTATCACCTTATGTGATCTTTAGCCCCATACAAATTTTCATATGGCATTAGAAGTAACTTTAGAAAATATTAAATCCACTTGTCCTCTCTATTGATATTATACATGAGGAAACTGAGTCGCAAAGAGCCCATGGCCACATTACTGGTTAATAGAAAAACTCATATTAGAACCAAGGTCCAAGTGACACCAAAGGCAGGGGTCCTTTGCTGTTTATCATAACTGCCAGTCTTTATATCATTCACAAGGTCAATGCAAGAAACATTTAAACATCTTATTGGAATCCCAACATATTGTGGTAGGTTTCCTATTACATGAGGGTTATGCACCACTGTCAATTAGAAGATAAAGCAAAGTGGTGGCCTTTTTTCTCTCTTGTTCTGAGATCTTCAGTAAAATTCCTTCTGTTTCTAAATATAAAGCTTTAAAACGGGCTATACTGATGTTGCGAAAGAACTGGTACATTATAAGTAGAAGTGTGTGTGTATGTGTGTGAGGGAGGGGTATATACATATGCATTCGCTTTATATCATAATTAAAGAGTGTAAGAAACAGGATTCTTTACTGGTCAAGGAAAACTTTTCGGAGGAAGGCAAACTGGTAATTTGTACAAAACCATCTGGGGAGCATGTAGACTTCCTTTGCACTCACTAAGAAAGCACTCTTTTTAACGAGGGACTACACATTTGTTCAATGAAAAGAAAATAGCTCTTTGTACCTTGCTAACTGAATTGCTAACTATTCTTCAGATACAAGTCTCATTGTTCCCACTATTCAGTATTTAAATACACATAATGTCATGTCTTTACTGCCATTAGTCAGTATTTTCAAAGAGCTCTTTTTATTAAATTTCTGAAACCCAGGACCAAAGAACACTTTTCTCTTAGGTATATATTATTTGTTAGAATAGAAACAATCAATACATTTTCAGAGTCAAAAAGCACTGGGAAACAGTTTCTTTTTTGGTCTGAGAGTATTTTTTTTATTTAAAAAAAAACCTTTAAAATATTTTGTTTTATCAGAATTGTTTGTAGGGAAAATGTAAACCTCACTATTGTTTAACTGCAGTCCAAAGAGGACTATCATAGTGCACTTCTAATCAAAAAATAAATTGAACATAGTGGTAGGCTTGCAGAAAGAGAGAGAATTAGATTTGATTAGATTAGCTTTAACCTACCCGGAATAAAACTGTCTGCCTTTCCTGTTATTTGTCAGTGTTTATAGCAGGTTTCGTCTACAATGCTTTCACTATTATTTCTGGGCGGTAAAAGGCAGTCAAGCAGAAAAGACACTCATAAATGTCAGAAAAGAGTAAGGTTTTTTTGCATTTCAAGGGCTTTGAAGGTCAAGTTCAACCCGCTTAAGGGAAGCAGAGTGATGGGTATGTGGTAGCATGTTGTTAGCTGCTGTGTTTAGGCATATAATTTATGTGAAGTTAATGCACTTGTCCATCACTCTAAGAAAGCAAAAGGTCCTGGGAAGATTCTATTTATTTTATTCATTTTGTTCAACTTTTAGAAGGTAAAATAATTCAAATTTCCATAATTTGTGATGGGAAAGAAACATGTTTAACTTGTTAACAGCTGAGCAGCGTAGAGCACTGTAATACTTCCCTGACTCTTCCTGTTGTAATTTGTTTCTTCTTCCGAGCAGCTGCCCCACTCCACGCTGTGCAGAGGAAGTGCTCTGTTAAGAAATTTTGCAAACCAGTGAGCATTTTTTTTTTCCTCTGGAAGCCTTTATTGAGATGTTTTCTTTTTCTTTTTCTCTATGAGACTTTATTTTTTCCCACCAGGGAGCCTGAGCAATTATAGTTTAAAGCTACCGAAGATAGGTATGTTCTTTGATATCAAAGAGCTACTTGAAGATTTTTCAAACTAAAGAGACCCAAAGGTTGTATTTTAAGGTGCTACTAGCACGGCCCTTTGTAGTTGAAAACTCTCAGAATGTCTACCAAGTGTATTATGCTTTGTTTGGAAATGTTGGACCTCGGTACTATTGCATTTGGTAAAAGGCAGGGTGTTAGAATCTGTGTGTATGTGTGTTCCTACTGCTGCTCAGTGGAGCCTCTGTACTTGCAAATTGTTTCCCTAGTGATGTAGGATGACTAGAGAGAGAATAGGCACTAGGGAGTAAAATCGACATTTATTGAGCACTCACTATGTCCTAGAGGCATAATGTATGTAGGGGATAGAAAATCTTATCTCTATTCTTTTTTTTCTTTTTTCCCCCCACCTTGAATTGAATTGACGTAGACAGATCAATGGGAGAAAAATTTATTTAATACAAATTTTAGGTGGCACTGGATCGTTCATGAGGAAATGAAGACCCAAAGACACAGTTATTGTTGAACACTTACATACTGAACTGGACAAAGAATAGTGAGTTGTGAAAAAGAAAATAATTATGTGGAGAGACTAGAAGATAAGACTTATTTTAAGAAGGTTAGTGCAGAATTCTCTTAGTCTCACCTTCCTGTCCTTGATGACAAGAATGTTGCTTTCTTTCTACTATAGAGAAGGGATATTTCACATGAAATCCATATGGGAATTTCACCTCCCGCTTTTAGGAAACAGATGGAGGGTCGGAGTGATCTTGCACCTCCCATTTTTAAAGTGCTTTTAGCTCAAAATAATTATGCCAAAGTAGCATATGTGGGGGTGCTGTGTTCTGAACGTTTTTATGCATCTTATTTCTTTCAATCCTCATTCACTCTGAGAAATGGCAGGTTACTATCCTCATGTTCCCGATCAGAGAATCAGAAAGGGAAAGTTTACTTCCCTTTGAGTCAAAACTGGTTTCTTTAACATCCATGGTTGCCTCACTAGAATAGTCTCCAGAGAGGAGGAAGTGGAGGAAAAAGAATGAAAACTAGGAAAGCAAAGCAAACTTCTTGGGGAAAGTGTGTGTCTATGTGAAAATACATTTTTTATGCAATGAAATGGTTTGAGTACTGTAGCTCTGAGTTCTTTCGTAGCTTTGAGAACTTTCACCACTAAATGGTAGAAATTCAGATGTTCTCTTTTCTTTCCAAGGAAATGTCTTTGGATCACCCCATTGAAGTGCTGGCTTGCTGACTCTTTCCTGGACTTCTTTTCTCCCATCAACCCTTCTCTTCTTCTATT